ATCCGGTCTTCGGTGGAATTCCATCCCTCCAATACAGAGATAATAGCGTCTGCTGTATATTTCACGGTATTGTTGTTGGCATCATCAGTCAGGTCGTATATCACCGAGATATCCTTGTTTTTAAGGCAAGGGTCAGATCCCTTCAATTTCTCAATTTCTTTGGTCAGAACATATTTCATTGTGACTGCCGGTCTATCATCCCTCAGTAAATAGATGACAGCTTTAGGACCCCGAAGAATATGTCCACTCTTCTGTTGCACCAAATTTATTGGCACACACATACCAACAAAATTCCCTTTAAATGTTTCTCTAATTTTCGATAACAGGGCCGAAATTTCGTATGTGTTTCTTAAAACCACTGACAATTCCTCTAAGTTCACGAAACATTTTCTGAATTCATCCTTGACTGCATTAAAGTGTCTAGTAAATGAGAGATGGGCAATCCCTTCACTGATCGACTGTGCTTTATCACAAAATATCCAGATGCCAGTTTTGTTTCTATCACTATTCTTCATAATAGGGAGCAGTCCTTCAGAAATGATGTTTCCATCAACGGTAAATAGAGTAATGAAAGTTTTGGGTTGGTAGATATCAGCGTGGATGCAATCCACCAGGTTTTGATGATCATCAACGAACACGTGATCAAATCTTGAAATGAAAGTTTTTATACTTTTGGCCAAGCATCTTGTGATTACCAGTATTACAATTTTACTGGTATCGTCACGCAGTAATAACGATCTGTGAGCTTCATCTAAAAGACAATTAAGATCACCCTCTTCTTCGCTATAATCGTAAACAATCTCCAAACATTTTATATCTTCCCTGATACTATTCAGAACTTTGAAGCAGCGCTTCGGAGGTTGACTCATATGATTTCCTGACATCATTAAAAGAATCCTATTTTCTGGTGGTGTTGTAAGTGCAAGGTGAATTATTTTACCCAACATCACTACGCTTTTGCCTGATCCAGCAGGACCATCCACCCATAGAAATCTCTTCTCGCTGTGAAATATATTCAGCTGTTCATTCGTCAAACAGTGTACCTTTAAGAAGTCTTTGAAGAGATCAGGTGCTTCGATCATTTCTTGATTTTCAGGATACTTCATGATCTTTCCTTTTCTTTTTCCCTTTCTAGCGGTCTCCTTTGGTTTTGCTTCATCGACTGATTTCCGTGTGACAAAAGCTCTTTGGAGTTTTTCATTTGTATCCATGATACATTGTGGCAAGCTACACGATGTGTCCTTCCAGTTGTTACCTTGATCGATGCACCACAATCCAAGAAGAATACTTTTAAGTCTATTTGCAGATTTCCTTGCCTTGTTTATAGGAGAATTTGTCTCAAAATCGTCGATCATCCAGTTTAAATCAACTATATCTTCACTGAACAAAATAGTTTTATCTGAGCGGTACCGCTCGTCCACCTCTTCCATAGAAATGTTACTGAAGATCGTGAAGTCGTACACCATGACCAATGGGTCAATAGATTTGATGAGATCTACCATCTTATTCCGCTGCCTGACTGCGTCTTCACAGCATGCCTCGAACTTTACTGCGTTTTTCCTTTGGAGTGGCATCCCGTCTCTTCGGACGCTGCATTTGGAACTCGACTCAGAAATGGTTGATGAGGCTTCATACTTAGTAACTGAGAGTCCTTTCACCTCAAACACCACTACAAAGTTATCTCCTATAACCACAAAATCAGTTTCGCCGTCTAAATTGGCCCCTGGTTGATGGCAAGGGTGCAGTTCTTGTCCCTTTTTGCACTTCTTCTTATCACCCGACTGTTCGCAATTTTTCTTATGGCAATTATGATTCGGAATAAAAGCGGCGTATTGATCATGAGTGTAAAGCACTTGATGGAGAACAACGACGTTTCTTTTTACCTCCTCCAAACACCTGTAAACTTTAACCTCTGCCTCATATCCGTTTTGATTTCGTTTCTCGGCTGCAGTTTATCCCTCCAATTGAACATTTTCTGGAAGCTTATCAATATGTTTGCAGTCCGGTATTGGGGGCATCATGAATGCACATGAAGTCCCATCTCCTTGCTGACAATATTTCGTCAGAAGCTGACTGCCAATACTTTCCTCAATTATTTTTCTAAGTTCAGACTGTCGTTTCATTATCTTAAAAACTAAAATTGTTAGTTACACTAATAGGGAAGAGAATTGTCGTTATAATGATCTATAACTATAACTATAAGACATTACACGTTTTACAGTCAGGGGTCGACCGAGGGACCATTTTTGAACGAGGCGAAACACAACGAAATTTAACCGAGGCCGAGGCAAACCGAGGAATGCCTGTACTAACCGAGGCCGAGGAGTGACATTTTTGGCCAAGAAATTTGTATGTTGAAAAAAAAACACATGATTTAGCGGCCAGATTAGTTAGTTTTATAATAGTAGTATAGTATATACTATAAATAAGCCTACATTATAATAAATTTTCAAAAGACTTCTGACATGGCGATAAGTCCAGTCTCTTGATATACCCGCGTCCCACGTATGCAACATAAATATTAATAAGTATCTCCATGATCTCTCACTAGCCTGACTGACAATTTTCTCGAATGACTGACAATGTTTCTTCTTTTCCCCATTTAGAATACAAAGATTAGTACATTTTAGCTTATGATTAATATTATATTTTTACCTATAGTTTACCTAGATTTCACAGTCTATTTCTATGCAATATATTTCTTTATCTTGCTTATCACCGTCTTCACACTCTTTATTATATTTATGCATTATGGCTCTTAGTCTTACTAATTCGCTCGCCCAAAAATTATCGCGTGACTTTGGTTTTTATGGTTTTGCAGCCGAACAAAACGGTTTTAGTTTTACATAAACCCTAATCCTAACCCTAACCATAACCTCGAATCTATCCATAACTCTAACCACAACCCGAGCCCTAAACAATCGAATTCGTGTTTTACTAGCCTGTCACGTGACCAAAACAGTTTTTTGCCCATAACTCCCCAGGCTTCCAGGGAACCATTTTTACCTTACAGTTACGTCATGGGGGTGATTCGGAATCAGCGTAAAAAAATACACCGAATTATATCACTTTCATACCCTTATATTATTATTACATCCGCTTTTTTTCTGTAATTTATCAATTAATCCACCTTCTCACCGTATGTACATATTGTATACGTGTCCCGTCGCGTACGTACTTTGTACTTTAATTTTATAATTCAGATTTCACTAAAAAAATAAACTTTAATGTTTAAAAGTATCAAAAAGAATTGGCATTCAAAAATTTCTCGATAAAACTAAAATTTTCGGTTTTTTGTTCAAAATTAGCCGATGCCGAGGATAAGCACAACAAAATTTATCAAGGCTGAGGCAAACCGAAATATAACTATTTTGGCTGAGGCCGAGGACTCGGTCGACCCCTGCTTACAGTTGTACAAAAATAAGCCCTAAACAATAGAATTCATGTTTTACTAGCCTGTCACGTGACCAAAACGGTTTTTTGGCCATAACTCTCCAGGGAAGCATTTTTACCCTACTATATACGTCATGGAGGGTGATTCGGACTCAGCGTCCAAAAATTAAAAATGGGCCCCCAAAAATTTTCTTAAAATTTGGGCGAGCAATTCAGTAGGAGCGGTAATTGTATTCCGCGCAAGCGATTTTCAATCGCGCACCCTGAAAATCGAGCTGAGTCTAAAATATAACTTCTCCTACATTTTTTGAGCAATCACCTTGAAACTTTCAGGATATGTTCTAAGGACCATTTGATCAGAATTTTAAAATAGGCCTTAATAGAAAATTTTGTATTCAATTTTGAAAATCTTAAACCTCGTTTTTTGACGATTTTTCAACTGCCCCCTTAACAACACTCCTTAAGTTTAACAACACGTCCTTAACAACACCTCCTTAACTACACCTCCTTAACAACACCTCCTTAACAACACCTCCTTAATAACACCTCCTAAACAACACCTCCTTAACAACACCTCCTTAATAACACCTCCTAAACAACACCTCCTTAACAACACCTCCTTAACAACACCTCCTTAACAACACCTCCTTTACAACACCTCCTCAACAACACCTCATGTCCTTAACGTAGAAATGGAAACTGAGTAGTCATGATAAGGCGTGCTCCTCGAATATAGAACAAAACACAGTTCGCGTCACAACAAACTACAAATCTAACCACATGACACTAGGATATTATGATAAGTGATATCACTATCAGTAACATGAGCTCCCCAAGTTATAAAGCTAAGACTTCTAGAAGCTTCTACAGCAGGCTTTAGGTAAACTCTTGATGTGCTGATGTTTGCTAAAATTTAGCTTGGGTCCACAAAATCGTTATAAAATTGTGCTGTCGAGAACAGAAATCAATAAATGTGGGATGTGGGTGCTAAATTAAACTTAATTTTGCTGAACCCTGGTCACTAAGAGCAGTTGTTAGATTTACTTCTGTCGTATATCTGCTGATACATAAATACATAAAAAATGCTGTCTTTTATGACATTTTTTATGTCAATAAATTTTTGTCGAATCATGGTCGATGAGTTTTCTAAGATATGGGAAGTTGTACCTAAAAAGAGTGTTCCATTCAAATACCCTACAAAGAGAGTCTGCTGCTTTTCATCAATTTAATTTTAGAGCTGCTGTAAATTTATTTTACACGGCTGTGAGCTGACAGCTGTTTCTGTACGTCTTTTTTCTCCGCGAAGACACGGGTTCTACAATGAAAAAATATACTTTAACTTTACAAACCCTCAGTCCAAAATATTAGTCATACTATTAGCATATCATAATGAAATGGAAACATATTAAGTACAGCGTTAATGAAGTTTAAGGAATAAAACTCAGGAGACGTCAATGGACCTAACACCCTTGCATTGTTCTACAGTGAGAATTGCTTGATTAGTAGTCCATCTGGCTGGATCAGGGTACATATTTAAGGGTCGAGCTAGATCGTGAGATATCATTACATTTACAGACCAACAGAAACGTTCGAGTATTGCAGACAAAATGAAGATCCTCTTCTTCCTATTCCTTGCCGGAGCTGCCCTGGCTAAGGAGTCCCCACTTAAAGCAATTCTACGATCACCCGTGGAAACTCTGAAGCTCTACAATTCCTTTAAAGGCGAGCAGCAACTCTCTTTTCAAGCAGCTGAAGATCGAATGAGATTCCGACTGTTCAGAAAAAGTGCGGAGTTTGTGGCAGAGGAAAATTCTGTTGAAGGAGAGACGGCAGAGTTCGCTCTCAACTTCTTCTCTGCGTTGACTGAGTCCGAGAAACAATCATGGCTAGGGTTTAACGCTACCGGTGCAGAACCAAACCCTCTCCCTGAACTAAACTCTGGGCTTAAAAGTGATAAGACCCCAGATGAAAAACTGTGGACTGATGAAGGTAAAGTGACCGCTGTAAGAAACCAAGGGGCATGCGGATCCTGCTGGACCTTCGGAGCAGTTGGTGGTCTGGAGACAAGGTACGCTAGAGTAGCTGGATTTCTGAAGAGATTCTCTGAGCAAGAGTTTCTGGACTGTGTTTACGAAGGAAGGAAAGATGGGTGTAGGGGAGGTTGGATGAAGGATGCCTACGAATATTCAGCTCGAGCTGGAGGACGCCTCGCTAGGGCAGCAGATTACCCATACACTCAACGAGACGAGTACTGCCAGGCTTCCAGCAAGCCTGATGCCATGATCGCCGCAAAGATTTGGGGGAATGTTGCAGTTGAACGAAGTGAGCAGTCTAATATCAATGCTTTGGCAGACGGATCTCTTGCTGTTGCCTTTCAGGTCACTGACAGATTCCAAAGTTACAGCAATGGAATCTTGAAAGACGAGACGTGCAGGGGATATCCTAACCATGCAGTTACTGCAGTGGGATACACTAAGGACTACGTTCTGGTAAAGAACTCTTGGGGTGAATACTGGGGAGATGCTGGATACGTGAAGTTTACACGAAACCACCACAACTGTCATCTGTGGAACTTCAGCAGTTACCCTAGTCTAGTTCCTACTGGAATAGTGGACGACGACAAAGCCCGACCCACAACTGGTCCGCGACCTGATCCTAATCCTAATTGCAGAGATAATGACCCAAACTGCATCAAGGATTGGTGCGTAAACGCCTACATTGTTAAGGATCACTGTCAGAGGACCTGTGGTGCGTGTACTGATGGTGGAGATGATGATGGAGAAGATGGCTGTCCTGGGGGCACGACACTGTGTCCTGATGGAATCTGCAGACACGAACACATGTGTTAGTTTACAACTTTACACGTCTTTACAATTTGTAAAATTGCAATTTGTCATTAATTGCCTTGCATTTTAATATCTGTCGTTTTATTTGAAATCTTCCCCAATGTGTAAACGTTTGGGCCACGTTATAACATGGTAACTTTTCATGTTTAAGTCAATAAAATTGCAATTTGGACCAAACCACTTTTCGAGGCAGCTACCTAACATTTGCCATACAGTAAAACCTCTATAAAAAACCTTTTTTTTAAAGTCACATTTCCTGTGGTACATCCTGTAGAAGTTTTACTGTATTTCATATTCAATATTTTGTGAAACGTTTCGAACTCACCTTTTAATTAATATCACACCGCTACTTTCTATTAAAATTAAAATATAAAAAAGGATTAATCTTTGAGTCAAATTACCTGATCATTTGGGGAACATCCCAAGCTAGGGTTCAATTTTAAAATCAGCAACAAAATTCTTCAAATTACTTTTTCGTCAAATTATTGAAAATAACATTTTTTAAATGTGTGTTTTGGCAAAGAATTAGACACGGTTGTTTAGAATTGTATACTATAAACAATAACATAGAGCATCTTATTACCAATACAGCAATACATCCATCTTATACACATTGAGGAGGTTGCAAAGCACCACTCCTAATTATATACTCCTAATTGTATACTCCTAATTATATACTCCTAATTATATAATCCTGCTCCTTAATTATACACAGGATAAAATTCATAGTAAACAGTTAATAATATTGAAACTGAAAGGCAAAGCCATGTAAATTATTTCTATTATTTAGTATATATACGTTAAGTGTCAAAATGATATCGTACGGTTAATCGGGTAATTGATAGATTTGCTTAAATATGACAAAATACTTAAAAATTTAAATAAGAATTAAATATAAAAACATGAGACTCGTTTATAATATGCGTCGTCAAGGGTACAGTAAACCAAAAATTTAAAAATTGAGCTGACAGATTACAATTACAAGGATAACAAAAAGTTCACCCGATACCCGAACAAGATCAGTTTTATGTTAACAATTAGCATCAAAGTTTCATCAACTGAATTATTAGATATTGTGACATTACCCAGGACCCTGGTATATAAGTTCAGTACTGGAGATTGTCTGAGAAAACGAGTGTAACACGGGTTCAATGTGTTCTGCAATCAGGGTTTCTCTGGTCATGCTCTTGTTTGAACGGTTCTTTATCACAATCTGAAAGGGTTCATTGGTTCAAATCAAGACCAATATTTTTGAAATTTTACAAACCAATTCAGTATTTGGTAGATTTTAGGTCTACTAATACGATAAAGTTCCCGTAGATCTGTACAAGAGAAGTGTTCATTTTCAGGAGATCTGAAAGTCTCGTTATTTCATTACATGTTTTCACTGGATAGTAACCTAACTACATATTATGATATAATAACTATACACAGCGAGTCCGAGAAGTAGTTTACCAAAGGGATTTCTCAATAATAATGTTTACGAAGTAGCAATGGGTGCTATTAGAGTTGATATGACCAGGGCTGAATAGTTGGCATTTGTCATTAATACAGAGATTAACTAGAGGTTAAACAAGCTGAGAGTGGCTTTTTTACAACATAAACCAAAGTAAAACATTTTACCTGAGATATGAGAGTGTATAAACGAATGATGTGGTCCATGTCGGCTGTCTTTAATAGTTCCACTATCTGCTGTATTATCAAATCTGCACTGTGGGAGTCCTGGGTGGTACGAAACGGTTAAAGGTTGAGACGGAATGGGGCCAGGGGTTGCAATAAATATTTGTAATAATTAATATACGTCAAATATTTGTAATATTTTTCAGAATTTTAGGCCAGGACTGATAGATCACACGGTATCTGGTCACACATTTTACCACTGTCCCCAGGTGCTCCGCGAACTGGCACGTTTTACATCCTAACATGTTTATTTACGCAAACAACCTTGTTATCACCCTCTATCTTCCCCCTTCTACCTTATTGTGAAGTGTGTGTGAAGTACCTGAGGGTGAGAAGTTGTGCCGTTAATCTGATCACTGTCCTCCTCTGCAGATACACTGTGTCTCCCCCGGTACTGTCCTGTTAATAACAGAGTCAGTACTGTTAGTTACATCCCGCTATCACTTACTATAGTAATGTAATACTTGATAAACGTCTAATGATGAAAACATGTAGAGCTTCAACATGAAAAGCGGCGTGATTTAAATTTATCGGCGCCGGCGTAAACGGCGTGGGCTGACAATATAAGTGGACAGTTATAGTCGTTGGAAGAGTTGAGCCTAAGCTATGGTCAGTCATATGCTCAAATAGCACAGCAATCAGCCTGTCAATATTTGGCACGATATGGGTATAAGCGTATACACACCATGATTACATTAATTAATGCAAACTAGAAAATGAACAATAAGCTCCATATCTCTTAGTCAGTACAGTGTACCTGAATTCCTAGCGCTCTCAGTTCTGGACCTTCCGTGTTGTGACTCTGTTTCTTTTTGCTCGGCCCGTGCAGCTCTAGCAGTCTTGATTTCTTCGCAAAGGGTGGCAAAATCTTCATCTAGTTCAGTGTCTGAAGGGGATGTGTTAAACGTGATGAAATTATCGTGTGGTATCGTGTGGTTCTAGTACAGTGCTCACGTGTTTTCGTTCGGGTCAATTTTAATAATCACTCGAAATATCATTCTGATTTCAGATATCATTGAAAATGTTGATGACAAGAAAATGTTTTAATAGAATTGTGTACTTTGTCTTGAAGTTCAGAGATATGGTGGATATAGTTCTGTGTGAAGAAGGGCCCCCAAGGCTCAAGACTATGATAATCACATTTTAATCATTCTTTGATTATAGACCCAGGCTGTGATTATTCATGATAACCAGTCTAAGCACAGACTTGAGAATAAGACTAACACATAATTCTAACATGCACTTTCCCTATCTCAAGACTATGAGCATGAATAACCCATGCTGAATAACCCTATCTAGGGATGATTATAGCTGTAGCATATATTCCACAATCTCCTCGACATGCTGCGCTGGGGAGTGGGGACTGATTAGGTAGCTTTTCTAGCCAGGGATTTGTGCTGCACATTAGTCTAGTTAAAGCAAAGAAGTAAGAATCTCACGTTCAACTATCTTTCACAATTTACAGTATGACTTATACAAAGGTATTTCGTCTCCCTGGGTGTCCTCCACGAAACAGTTACGATCAAACTTAGGCTGTAATATTTACGATCGTGAGACATCCACTGTCAAAGTTACTATCAATCTGTCCACGAAACGTTAATCGATTTAAGCCTTACGATTGAACTTTAGCTACTTACGATATAACTTTACGATCTACATATGATATCCTACTACCACCTTATTAACCCAAATAAGGAGCGTGATGGTTGCGTGAGGTGAATCACGCGATCGTAGATTCAAAATTTGATCGTAAGTTGAACTTTTGGTTGATCGTAGAAATGGCCACTTACGATATAACTCACGACACCTATTTGTCAACTTTTAGGGACTTACGATCAACTTAGAGGTCGATATTTAGAATTAAGTGCAACAACCATGAGGTTAAAGTCAAGAAGGTCTAAAATGGATCTAATTGTATAATGTGCTACCGAGAAAAGTACTTAGCAAAGTAACATGAGGAAATTAAACTACTATAAGGGGATAAATGGTGATCGTGAGATAATAACTACAAACCATGCCTCATGATAGACGATAAAGTGAGTATATGAATGGAAAGAGCTAAATAATTAACTCCGGTAATTAAATACTGGTATTACATAAAATAGTGAAGTCCACACGTTTAAAATTCTGTCCATTATAGAAACTGTGCCGGGGTAATTTAAGCGGGAAAAAACTAACAGCAGGAGCCGGGATTATCAGAATCTATCCCGCCCGCCCGTTCTTCGCTCAAATTTGTTTTCTGTTATAATTATCAGTTATCAACCTTCATCATGCAGACCGTATCTGATATTACCGCTATTACTCCACCTTCTGATCCTATAGACCGGCCTTCCTCATCCAATACTGAACAGATCTCATCGGATTCGACAGGACCTCCTTTGGACACTGACCTAACTACTTTAGACGCTGACCTCGCTACTTTAGACACTGAACTCGCTAGAATTACATCAGATGGCGACCTCACTACTTCGGATAATGGAATAACCCCGCCGATAACCATCATCAATGCCTCACTAGGGAAAAGGAAAAGAAAGAAACAGAAGGCGGAGCCCGTAACTGCAGTTGTCAAGAAGGAACGAGCACGGAACTTCACCTCGGAGGAGGTGCAAGTTATTATGCAGGAAGCGGGGAAGAATACAGCTATTATCAAAGGCCGATTCACGCCTACTATAACCAGCGAGGCAAAGGAGAAATTGTGGTTAGCAATAACTAAGTCGGTGAACGCGATCAACGGTAAAGGAGACAGAGAATGGAAGGATGTTAGGAAGAAATGGATCGACACTTCATGCTCTGCTAGGTCCAAGCTTCGCAACATTGAAAAGGAGCAGCGAAAGACTGGTGGTGGCGCCAGCTCAGCCCCCCCTCTCAGCAAGGTGGAAACCCTTGCTTTGGACAGTATATCAGGAACAACTGTTCGGGGTATTCTATTAACAGAACGCAAAACGAGTTCAATTTATAATTAAAATGGCGTTATACAAGAGCTGCGCGTTCCGACTGCGTGAATTAACTTGTGTTGCGAATCTCCTATTGGTCAATGTACCGCGTCACGTGATAAAACAATTTGCTCTACGATCAACCTTGAACTGAGTTTCGTGGACAAGATTCCGGAGGCTAATTAAATTGATTTACATGATCTCAGATTACAAAATGTTTCGTGGACACTTTTTAGGCGCGATCGTAAAGTTACGATCGATCTTAGAGTACACGATATAACTTACGATATAACTTTCGTGGAGGACACCCTGGGAGGGGCCGAACAATCTTTTTACTTGCAACTATGGGTCAATGCGACCGATATTTGGGAAAAATACCAACGCTAGCTCTCTCTCTCTCATTTGCTTATATTATCTCTCCTTACAGCAATCGGTGTTGCTTAGATTTCTCTAATTTGGGCTAATTTGCCTTATGGAGGTCAAACTAAGATACAATTTTCTGAGTTTAACGATAAGTGGGCGTTATAAGCTGGACAGAGACTGAGAAAAACAATGACAAAAAACAAAAAACAGTCCATTTTACCCGTTTTTGCGTTAAGTAAAGAAAAGATCATAATTTTGCAGTTTTCTTATTTCTAAGAGTCATTTTGATGTATTTAATTCATTTGAACAACTGTCTGTTTTACATTGAAACGCTATGAGTATGTAGACATGTTCTGTGATCGTTATTTGCGAATAGTTGTTTGAAAAAATGGTTAAATCAATTTGTCCAGTTGTTTGAACTCGAATCGCCGTGGAATTCAAGTACAAAATTCCCTCGATTCCCATAAAAGCATAAACGACTGAAGTCTTAACCTCCTTACTTTAGAGACATTGATAATAATGAGATGTCTCTTGCTGACGTTCCTACTTAACTTCTTTCAAGCGATCAATGGTTCTTACTGACATATTATAGCATAATTGAAGATGTTTTATTGAAATGTGTACCCATTTGCACTATGGGTGATGATCAATCAGCTGATCGTGCTTATGACAGCTTTAAATTCATGATTCATTCATTTTGATTGCTCCATACCCTGAGTCTATTATTTCAGCCCAGAGAGAATTTTTGAGAATGAGAATTTGGCCATTATCGTCGGGACTTTCAAAAATACTCACGTGATATTTGTACTTGTTTGTAGTAAGTGTAACCATATAATGCCAATGTAAACTTCAGAGACTGAGACGTTTGAAGAACGCACAACAACAGGTAAAAATTAAGATTTTAAGATTGAAAACTGGGACAACTAAATGCTTGGTAGTACAACAAAACGGACTTTTCGTTAGCATTCACTTGTCCATTGTTAATGGACTAACCCGGCGCGCGAAATTCGGTGAGTTCGAATCTAAGTGTACACATGGGTACCATGATTATTAGATAAAACGGGAAACATTAATTTTCTACCCCTGACTCCGGTCCCAGACCACTCGCCCTTACACCAATCCCTATTCTCTTCCCTAGAGTTCATTACACAAGAATCTTAAAAAGCTGCAAAAGTTTCAACATTATTTTCTTTAACGTAGATATCATTCTCTTGGTCATCATTACTTCTGTTATCATGGCTTTTGTAAGAACGTGAAAAAAGGTGACATATCACCACCTATAAAAGCACAAACCGAGTAATGAATGAAGGAAGTCCTTGAGTTCAGCCGCTCTGTGACGGATTTGTCTGCCAGTGTGGTCGTCAGCAGGGTTGTACTCTATAGCGTTCTCAGCTATTAGCTCCACGTCACAGATAAACTCCCTGAGGGTGGGTTTTTATCATTTCTGGGTTAACACACGTGATCAGTTAGAGGTTCTGGAATGTGAATATGGAGGTATAGGGTTACAGAGTGAAATGGCTCGAGATTAAGAATGGGGGACAAACATTGTTTGAAGCTTGTTTTAGATTTACATATTTAACGACAGATATAACAATATTAGGTTTTTTTACTTGACAGCGTCGTATTCCATACAGTCAATCTTCTCACGTATTTTCTCCAGATCCATAGGTTTCTTCACAACTTCCAAATAATCTGACACCTTGGAAAAGTGTGCACAGGTTTAGGGATGGCCAGTGGAATCCTCTAACAAAATTTATTCATAAAAGCCAAAATCAAAGAGTTATACAGAGATACAAAGTCAAACAATTAATTATAGCGTCCGTTTAACGGACTCCGTTCGCTATCCTAGATACAATAACACGATATGAGCAATAACAGCACTGTTATAAGTGATTACCTCCTCCAAGTTGACAGGTTTGCAGAAACAGTAGAACTTTCTCTCCTTCATCAACTTGTAGACCATATCACGTAAGAACAGTCGTAACTCTCTTAGCGTTGCAGCCTAAAAAGGAAATATTTATATATGTATTCGGGGTGATAAAAAATAGCACGACTGATTAGTGTTTAAACATTTTAGGTACTTAGCGATGGGTTCTCAGATGTATTACAAGAAGATGTGGAATGTTTAGTACCTCTCTTTTCTCGATAGCAGCTATTTCTTCCTCACTCAGAGGTTTAGGCTTCACTGGTGGCGCTTCCTCTAATTCCTCAATGGTTTCATCTGGGGTATTGACTGGCTAATAATAAATAATTTAATAATAATAATTTATCAGCTACTTCACAATTCGAAAACAAAAATATATGCTTCATTTGAATTCGTTTAGTTTGAATCTAAATTGATTTGTCTTCCTGCAATGACATAACAACAGGTAACAATAAGGGCCAGGGGGCATAATAACGTCAATTAATGGTATTTCAAACAAAATGACCGAGTAACTGACCATGTTGAGAAGTGACGCTGAAAGATCTGGCTATCTCGGAGGTAAGGAGAGGAGTAAAGAAGTTGGTAATGTTAGCAGTGGTAGGAGGACGGAGATCTACTCTTTCTGACTCGGAGAAAAGATCACTGAACAGGGAACCCTGATAGAAAAATAATTAAATAAGAGACGCACACAGTTCAGTCGTAATCATAAACTATTAGTGTAACTTTACAATTTACGTATCAGAAATTGTAAATCTTCAAATGTGAAAAATTTCATTGTTTGCAACATAATATTAAGCTCGTTTTTGAAAACATTTGAAATTCTCAATACTATGTCAATTTCTATGACGCAGATAGAGCAGTACCCTACCGTTACAGTTTCGTGCGCCCTCCCTAATTTTTCGCCCCTTTTTGTTCATGCTCATTTTCATGCCTCTTGTAATTGATCGTGCCAACCGGACGATGAAGAGGCTCAATTTTGTAACCAGTCCTCCCCTCTCTAGAACAATAACTAGACAACAGTAACTATATAACAATAACTAGATAACAGTAACGAACCTCTTGCAGTGTATCACAGGTGGAAAGTGTAGCTATCAGCACCATGTTACACCCAGGTAGTGTGTCTGATAGGAGTGTGTGTAACACATTACACACTGATATGTTACACGAACTCTCTAGAACGTCCATAAACGGGATGTACAGGATACTGGGCGCTCTCTTTCTAGCTCCCGTCACAATCTGCGTGTTTGGTTTGGTAAGAGCAAAAACTGGAGGTTATCTGCTTATTTATATTTAATAAAAGCATATTATGTAGAGTTTTTGTTTACTGTTGTTAATGATTAACAATATCAACAGTTCAATTAAAATCTAGGAGTATTTAGTTTTGATAATCTAACTATCTACTGAACAATATTTAACAGTTGAACTAGAATTCAGTAAGTACTTAAATAAGCTAAAATAGTACTTAAATAAGTATTTAAATAAGTTAAATTAGTACTTAAATAAGTTAAATAAGTACTTAAACAAGTTAAATTAGTATTTAAATAAGTTAAAGCACCCTCCTACCCTGGCTGCAGCCTCCTCTAGACTCCTGTAGTTAGGATCGTTGAGAGAAGTCAGTGATACCTCGTGTAGTGACACTTCCTCGAACACGTGCAATAAACTGCTCATAACCAGTGTGTTGTGCGATGTTATTAGGAGTCGTGGTCTGTGGCTAGGGACTGAGGGAAATTGGGAGATCATAGTTTGGAGCTGGTTTGGGGCCCGGGTACAATGTACATTGTAGAACTGATTTCCCAAGTTAAGCTAATTCAATAAACACAAATATTTCACTTAAACAAGTAAACTAGTGATTAAAAATAAAATCGTGCAGAAATAATAGGGTACGGATAAGTGCTTAAATAAGTGCTTATCGATGCTAGCACAGCACCGCCAGTTGTACATGTATTATATATTAGCTCAATTTCAGACTTCAGCTCAAATTACCTTTTGAATAGTAAGATTCAAGAGTAGAGAAGAACTGATCGATATCCTGATAAGACGTGTTTCTAGCTGATGCTCCTTTGTAAATTTCAGGTTCTCCTGCCACTAATTCTACTGCCTCCTTCTTTTTGTCGCTTCCTGGGAGAAACAAGTGGGTTAGGGGGGTTAGCTCATCTCTTGACCATGTTCACAGGTAATTCCGTTGGCATGCACGACGCACGTGGCTCTTACTCGCTGACAGAATTATCCTTCCCGTCGGTTTTTTATGCGCATTTTTACTATCGGTATCACATTTAGCAGGATCGGAGCCGAAAATTGTTTTGCCACCTCAGCTTTTGGGAATTAGTACACAGACTATAGGAATCACCTCCTGTTCAAAAAATTATGTACCAGTTATAATATATGATTAGTAAACAGTGCACAGTACATTAGTACATTAGTACATTAGTACATTAGTACATTAGTACATTAGTACATTAGTACATTAGTAAACAGTACATACAACTTTGGACAATTTTTAATTGGGTCTCAGGTTTGATGAGGGATCTTTAAGAATTTAAACTCAAATACATCGTGTAAGTTCTTCAAAAGGGCCGAATAGTAAATATATTCGAGTCTGTGTGAGTGTAGGCTACGATATTTTGATGTGCTGTCCCACGCTACGCACAATTTTCAATGCGGTAGGTATACATCTGCCTCTTATTTCCTCACATTACAATATGCACTTTGTTAGTTCGTTAACCTACCTGTGTTCTAGTTAAAAGTTTATAGGTTACATTTTTCGGAACTTACTTAACTGTTAGTTTAAATCGGTTCAAATTTATATAAATCATCGTTTGCCTTGTGTTGGTCATACTGGAATCAATTGGCTTCGATACACAACTTATTAAATCATCAACAACTTAAAATAAATTTCACGCCAGGAAAAGAAACAAACTCTAGCGATGGTCCAAGTAATTAAAAAAGAGGAAAACGTTCCCATCCTCAACTACAAACTGAAACTCATATATTTCGTCATTATCGTAACTGCGATGGTAGTCATTTACATGCTCACGTTTGGAGAACGAGGAACATCATACCAAGAAGGTCAAATCCACACAGATAACAGAATGAACTCTAAATCTGTAGAAGTGGAGACATTTTCAGAGGTGACCGAGGAGGGGACTGAACAATCAGATTTAGACATGACTGCTTCACTTGGCTCAATATTTCCCACTTCTTCAGCGAATGTATACAGTACAAATTCGTTGCCCCAGCAAATTGACGGCGGTCAGCAACCTGTAATACAAGATCCACAACTAAGTCAAGTTCAACAACCTGAGCAAAGTGTAATCCAGCAACCGGATCAAACTTTAGTACAACAACCCGTACAGCCTCAACAGAGTGACATTCCACAGCCTGTTCCTCAACAACCTCTGGAGAATCAACCACAACCAGTAATCCCACAAGTCCCCCAAACTCCGCTTCAACCAGTAGGACAGTGTCCAGCTCTTGACATGGGTGGAATACACGACAGGATTACAAAGAGTTGCGAGGTGGACCGGTTTAAGAACAACTGGGTTGAACTGGTGGCTATGTACGATATCGCTCCTCATCACCTTCTTTACGATGTGGATAGGAACTACGTCTGGGTAAGAGAGTATAATATTTTGTATTTCCTCTGCATTTTGCTGTAATTTTAGAAACATGATCTTATGATCTAATGTATGAATAAATATAAACTTAGTTTTATCATTAAGTGAACGATACTTTGTTTGAGAACTAGGCTTTGATTAGCAGATCAGTTTAAACAAGCTCGCGTCTTATAACAAATTCTATGCAGGTGACGGTCCCCAAAATAGCGAGCTCCAACATAAAACGGGTAATCATCAAAGAGAAGTTTGGCTACGAAGAGGGAAGCGAAGAAATGGAACACGCACTATTCGCACCCCACGTAACCCTAGCCAAGTGCTGCCTCCTTACTGCTGAAGTAGCTAGAGAATTTTATTCCTTACAACGAGCCTTCACTTTCGCTTTCATCAGGAACCCCTGGACACGACTTTACTCCGCGTACAAAGACAAAATAGTTAAATTCAAAGGGTTCGACGACTACTACTACATCAAGAAGATCCTGTTCACAGTGCGAGACTGGACCTGGGAAGAAGTAAAGAATGAACCAGCTGTTAGGGAGGCAGCCGGAACAATTACCTTCACTGATTTTCTTACAATGTTAGCCACGACTGACGCCGAGAACTTTAACGACCATTGGAAACCCTGGTTCTTGTTGACCCAGCCCTGCATGATAAAATATGATTATATCGGGTACCTGGAGGACATTGGCACTGCGTATCAGGTTGTTAAAAATAAAGTGTTCAGTGATCTGGATATTGATCTGGGAGAGAGATATGCAGGATCCTCAGGGAGTGCCGGTACTATTGAGGCGTATAAAGTCGTGCCTAAACACGTGCTAGATGCTATCGTGGCCAAGTTTGAGGATGACTTTAATATTGGAGGTTACAGTACGGATATAAACTGTATTGACCAACTACATGGATAGATGGGATACAAAAATACTGAATTCACTAATCATTCATTTTATGTATGTATTTATAAACGATAAATTGGCAGCAATTTGATTGATGCTGATGTTGATATTAGGGGTTTCAGTAAAGATTTGCAATATATTGATCAGTTGCAATTTGCACGGATTGAGGGATAAATAGATATTTACATTTTCTGTTAATGATATATTTATTAATAATAAATTTGTTTTTCATAGTACGATAAATTTACAGCAAAAACTTTAATCAATAAAGTCTAGCTTGAGTAATTTTTTTCAGAGAAAATAACTTCAAAGACAAAGAAAATATGCAGTTAAATGAAGAAAGCCTAATCAGTAATGAAAAGTTAAAACCACGTGTGTTGCAGGATAAAAAGAAAGCTTTCACCAATAAGTACAAGTGATTAAATGCTATGAGAAAGTGCATACGAGCAAAGCAATCTCTGATGCACCTCTAGATCGAGAGCCTTTCCCCCGAGAAGACGGTGACTTTGTTGTGCTGTGCTCTGTGGAAATGAGTGTGAGTTATAACTTTTTATAAATAAAACATAAAGGGTGATTTATTAACGCTTAGTTATAAACATTAAGCGATGTGTTATAAACAGTGGGATGTGAACAGTATGAGATGTTCGGGGATACAATGTTGTATTAAAGTCTGGTACTGGTACTTTCTTTCTCGGAAATAAAGAGGTTGTTACATGAAACCAAAGGCTTTACATACCATGCGACACTTTATAATATGAACACTTAAATACAAAAACTAACAACTATTTCCAAATACCTGATGGAGAGATATAAGCATGTCCGAGACTAGAACAGTTGGCTTTAGCAGAGGGCATAACCCTGGTGATAAAGCGGACTAAGTCCATGACCGTGTCTGATAACAAGGGTCGGATGTGCTGAGGTAAAGGCAAGTGGGTGTTTTCACCTGAACAGTGGGGTTCTTTTAGCTTCACAGACACTTCCATTAGTGACTGTATTAAAAAGATGCTCTTTCATGGTGAATACTCAAGACCGCGGATATTTCAGATTATAAGGGTTTACATTTACTAAAAGAAGCCTAAGTCGGAAACAAGCGTCTTAATTTCTATCTACAATCATCCTCAGTTTCAACTTTCACAGTCTGACAATCTATGTGGCGACTTACTTGAGCGAGCTTGAGCAGGTTGAATTTTCAATAAAGCCTGGTAAAAGTCCTGGGCTCTAACTTTTATACTGGCAGTGTCCAGTAACAGTCTCTTGTTCGTTTTGTAGATCTGAGATTACAATGGTCAATTTGTTTTCAGCTTTTTTAAAAAGCTTCATAAACTTCGTAAAGAATTTGTACCTTTACTATTTTCTATCCTCACTGTATTTCAAACTTGACGAGCTTAGATAACTCCGGCAACCAGGAAAACCCCGAGAAATAGACTTAAATGTGTTTTATTTCAAGAGCAAAAACGTTTAGCAAATTTAGCCCGCCAATGAAGTATTACAGTAGTAAGTGTTTTGTTGCTTCAAGTTGCGTTATAATTAGTTCACATAATATAGCTTTACGCATAAACTTTAACTTTTCATTACTTATGTTGTGAAGATTATTAATGATGGGGTAAAGAATTTCAATTAAGGAATACTTGAAGCAGTATTATGAACCCCATCGATGCCCTTGCCTATTTCCCATTTGACAAAAAATTGAGGAAGAAATGGGCATGAGGTCTTCTTGGTGAGAATTATTGCACTATTCATGCGTCAATAATATTAATAATTAATGAAATTCATCGCTATTTTATAAAGAATAAAATAATGCCATACCTGAGGATACCGTCTCCTGAGAGCACCTAGCGCGCTCTCTGTAACCAACGACTTGAGATCAGCCCCACAGAAGCCAGCAGTTCTATCAGCCAGCACAGACAACAGGTCCGGGTGAGGGAGGGGGCTCCACTTGTTGGTGTGTATACGCAGGATCTCAGCCCTGGCCTGGGGAAAAGGAGGGGTTGCTGGGGCTGCCAGGGGTTAGGGGCTTCATTCAGTAGTTTCAATAGGCAGAATGATGGCAGGGAAATGTTTGAAGGGGAAGCATCAAGCAAATTTGAAGTTGAATTTCGATCAAGACGTAAGGATAAGCAATTTCAAACTGACCGAAGCGGAGGGAAGTGGGAAATGGAACTCTCTGTCGAATCTGCCGGGTCTTCTTAGAGCAGGATCAATAGCATCCAGTCTGTTAGTCGCACCAACTACCACCACTTCGCCTGATGAGAGATGGTATTCACTACAATATTTACTGTTCAATATAGTTTCCGCTCAAAATAAAAAGACTGTGAATAAAAATAGGAACACTCCACACTCCGTCACTCCAAGCAGCCTTGTTTACGTCCTGAATTCTGAATTCTGAACCAATATTACCTCTACTATCTAGCCCGTCCATCAAAGCTAACAGAGTGCTGACAATAGAGGAGTGTATCTGCTCTTGACGTGAGCTACGTACTGGAGCTAGACCGTCTATCTCGTCAAAGAATATGATACTCGGTCTCATTGAGTATGCCTGGTTCAGGAGGTTTGGTAAATGAAGGGCAAAGAATGCGCAGATATCATGGAACTTAATAATTTATATTTACAAAGTATGGAAACGAACAGGTTGTTTTAAATGACGATCTGTTAAGTATCATAATATGTCTGATCACCTGATCGAAGAGAAGTCGAAGTTGTCTCTCACTTTCCCCCACCCACTTGCTAAGACAATCTGCTCCTTTCCTCATAAAGAAGGATATCTTCTGACCGTCCTTACCACACTCATTTGCCAGCGCCCTTGCTACCTATTGTAATTTGAAAAGTATTTAATTTTAAAAAAGTAGAATGTCAAGCCTACGTGGTTCAATAGCATAAGTCTCTGGTTCAATAATTTCTGATCGTAAAAGACTGATTCGATTTCGTAACTTTGTAGATTGAAGGAATATTTGCTTACCAAAGTTTTACCAGTTCCAGGACTCCCATAGAATATAACCCCTCGGGGAGGTGCAATGTTGAACTTCTCAAACACATCAGGATACAGCATAGGGAACACAACCATTTCTCTAAGAGAGTGAATGTGCTGGTCCAGTCCTCCCACTGAGGTGAAGTCAGTGGATTTGTCTAGTGACATGGGGTCTATATCAGCCATACTGGCTCCAGCTTTTTGTCTTTCTCTGTATACACCTGGGAAAGGGTGGGTATTGACGGTTTCATACGATATTAACTACATTTAAAGGGTTTTCAAGTTATGTGCTTTGTTTTTGCAAATATTCATTCAGTCACGAAATAGGGGGGGGGGGGGGGGGATCATGTTATTTTTTGTCCGTTTTTGTCCGTTTTGTCCGTTAATTTTTGTCCGTTTTGAAAATATAGCTGCCAAACGGACAAAAACGGACAAAAACGGACAAAAACGGACAAAAACGGACAAAAACGGACAAAAACGGACAAAAATTGTAACTTTTTATTCAAATTTTCTCCACAATTTGTAACAGGCTATCTGCAGAAATGGGTAGCCCGGTTAATGACCATGGTCCTTTCTCAAACTTTTAATCCTCAATTAGGCACAAAGAATAGTCTACACATTTTTTAATAACATAAAAAGGGATGAAAAGTTTTATTACTGGAGAGTAAAACTTTGTTAAACACAAAGATTCTTGAGCACATTTTGGGTCAGACTCAAATGCGTTTAAAAACATTTTAGTATATAACAATAAAGTATGTAAACAATAACACCAACAATAATTATAAATTGAACAAATTATTGAGAGATGAAAAAGAGGAAGAGGAGTAGGGGGACTGAGGAGGGGGACTGAGGAGGAAGAGGAGGGGGGACTGAGGAGGAGGACTGGTGAAGAGGACTGATGAGGAGGAAGACTGAGAAGTAGGAGTAGGGGGAGGACTGAGGTGGGGAGGACTTAGGAGAAAGAGGAGGATTGAGGAGGAGGAGGAATGAGGAGTAGAAAGAGGAAGAGGACTGAGGAGGATCAGGAGGACCCAGGAGGAGGAGGAAGAGGAGGAGGACTGATGAGGAGAAGGAGGACCCAGGAGGAAGAACCAGGAAGAAGAGGAGGAGGAGGACTGAGAAGGAGGACTGAGAAGGAGAATGAGGACTGATGAGGAGGATGAGGATGAGGAGGAGGGTGACTGGGGGAGGACTGAGGAGTAGGAAGACTGAGGAGGAGGAAAATGAGAAGGACTGAGGAGGAGAAGGACTGAGGAGAAGGAAGAGGAGGAGGACTGAGGAGGACCCAGGAGGAGGAGGACCCAGGAAAAAGCCCCAGGAGGAGGATGATGACTGGGGAGGAGGAGGACTGATGAGGACTGATGACGAGGACTGAGGACGAGGAGGAGGAGGAGGAGGACTAAGGAGGAGGACTGAGGAGGACTGATGAGGAGGAGAAGGAAGTGGATGAAGAGGATGAGGAGGACCCAGGAAGAGAAGGAGGATAACTGAGGAGGAGGAGAAGGACTGAGGAGGAGAAGAGGGATCCAGGAGGAGAACCCTGAACCCAGGAGGAGGAGGAGGAGGAGGACTGAGGAGGAGGACCAAGGAGGAGGTTGACTAGCGAAAGGACTGAGGAGGACTGAGGATGTGAAGGAGGACTGAGGAGGAGGAACCAGGAAAAGGAGGAGGAGGAGGAGGACTGAGAAGGCGAAGGAGGACTGATGAGGAGGATGATGATGAGGAGGGGGGTGACTGGGGGGAGGACTGAGGAAGAGGGTGACTGGGGGAGGACTGAGGAGGATGAGGAAGACTGAGGAGGAGGAGGAAGAGGAGAAGGACTGAGGAGTAGAACGACTGAGGAGGAGAACGACTGAGGAGGAGAAGGAGGAGGAAGAGGACTGGGGAGGAGGAGGACTGTAATTGAGGAGGAGGAGGAGTAGGAGGAGGACTGAGGAGGGGAGGAGAAAGAGGACTGAGGAGGATCAGGAAGACCCAGGAGGAGGACCCAGGAGGAGGAGGAGGACCCAGGAGGAGGACCCAGGAGGAGGAGGAGGAGGACTGAGGAGGATGACTGAGGAGGAGGAGGACTGAGGAGGAGGAGGAGGACTGAGAGGGAGGAGGACTGAGGAGACATGAGGAGGAGGAGGAGGAGGAGAAGGACTGAGGAGGAGAAGGAGGAGGACGTAGGAAGAGGAGGACCCAGGAGGAGGACTCAGGAGGAGGAGAAGGAGGACTGAGGAGGAGGATGAGGACTGAGAAGGAGGAGGACTGTGGAGTACTGAGGAGGATGGCTGAGGAGGATGGCTGAGGAGGATGACTGAGGAGGATGACTGAGAAGGAGGAGGACTGAGAAGTACTGAGGAGGATGGCTGAGGAGGAATGAGAAGGAGGAGAACTGAGGAGAACTGAGGAGGAGGAGGACTGAATAGGAGGAGGAGGGGGACTGGGGGAGGACTGAGGAGGAGGAGGACTGACGAGAAGGATGAGGAGGAGGACTGAGGAGGACTGAGGATTGAGGAGGAAGAGGAGGAGGATGAAGAGGAGGAGGACCCAGGAGGAGGAGGACTCAGGAGGACTGAGGAGGAGGAGGACTGAGAGGAGATGAGACTGAGGAGGAGGAGGAGGACTGAGGAGGATGGCTGAGGAGAATGGCTGAGGAGGATGACTGAGAGGGAAGAGGAGGAGGAGGGGGAGGACTGAGGAGGAGGAGGAGGAGGAACTAGGAGGAGGACCCAGCCGGAGGACTCAGGAGGAGGAAGAGGACTCAGGAGGAGGACTGAGGAGGACTGAGAAGGAGGAGGGCTGAGGAGAACTGAGGAGGATGAGGAGGAGGACTGAATAGGAGGAGGAGGAGGGGGACTGGGGGAGGACTGAGGAGGAGGAGGAGGAGGAAGCATCTAAATGTTATTTCCATTTTTGTTATTTTTTGTCCGTTTTTGTCCGCTCTATTTTTTGTCCGTTTTGAAAATATATGGTTCCGAACGGAAAAAACGGATAAAAAACATGACCCCCCCCCCCCCCCCCCCAAGGAGGAGGAGGAGGAGGAGGACTGAGGAGGAGGACTGAGGAGTACTGAGGAGGATGGCTGAGGAGGATGGCTGAGGAGGATGACTGAGAGGGAGGAGGAGGAGGACTGAGGAGAAGGAGGAGGAGGACCCAGGAGGAGGACTCAGGAGAAAGAGGAGGAGGAGGACTCATAAGGAGGAATGAGAAGGTGGAGAACTGAGGAGGAGGAGGAGGACTGAATAGGAGGAGGAGGGGGACTGGGGGAGGACTGAGGAGGAGGAGGACTGACGAGAAGGATGAGGAGGACTGAAGAGGACTGAGGAGAAGGATGAGGAGGAGGACTGAGGAGGATGACTGAGGAGAAGGACTGAGGACTGAGGAGGAAGAGGAGGAGGATGAAGAGGAGGAGGATAAAGAGGAGGAGGACCCAGGAGGAGGAGGAGGACTGAAGAGGACTGAGGAGAAGGATGAGGAGGAGGACTGAGGAGGATGACTGAGGAGAATGACTGAGGAGGATGAGGAGGAGGAGGAGGATGAGGAGGAGGAGGAGGAGGAGGAGGAGGAGGAGGGGGAGAGGAAGAGGAGGAGGAGGAGGAGGAGGAGGAGGAGGAGGAGGAGGAGGAGGAGGAGGAGGAGGAGGAGGAGGAGGAGGAGGAGGAAGAGGAGGAAGCATCTAAACTTTATTTCCATTTTTGTTATTTTTTTGTCCGTTTTTGTCCGTTTTTGTCCGCTTTATTTTTTGTCCGTTTTGAAAATATAGCTGCCAAACGGACAAAAACAAGATCCCCCCCCCCCCCCCCCCCCCCCCCCCCCCGAAATAGACGTTTATCCTGTTAGATCAACATTTCTGTGAAATAACATAAGGAAAATGGCATCATATTCTACCTTTTTGAATATCCTCGATAGTAAGGTTCATGGGCAGACACCTCGCTCTAGCCTGGTTCATACTCTTCTTCTTCCTCTTCTCAAACTTCACCTCATCTTTCTCCGTCTCACTATCTGACTCACTGGTGGTACTATGGTGTCTGGTCCTTCTTATGGTGTGATCCTTTCTCGAACGGCCGGGTCTCCCTCGTCGTGAGGGGAACCTCTGGTGGTAGCGTTCCGGACTGAAAGACCGGTGGTACATGCCCCGGGGTTTGTGTTCACTGAAACTGTTGTCCTCGTAGCGGACTACTTTCGGGGGTTTGCGGCGGAGGGAGTAGTTTCTGTTGCTGGCTCGTCTGGAATCGTCTAGATCTTCTGCTTCACCTCCTTCTCCTTCTCCCTCTTCTTCTTCCTCTTCGTCAACTTCATCTGTTGGAATGAAAACATTTAAATGAAAACATGTATCAGAAATAGAGACTATATCGTTTAAAAAGTAAAAAGGACTATACGAGCGAATCCTAAAGCTCATCAGAAAGATCATTGGGATCATTTCATATTTTGCAAGTAAATTACAAGTCAACTTACAAAACCAAATGGAGTTATTTCAAATTACCTTCGTCTTCTTCATCGTCCTCCTCCTCCTCTTCCTCTTCAGATGATGTTCCTAAAATAGCTCAGTAAACGCTCATATTTCAGCATTTCATGAAAATGTGTTTTCCTTGTAAGTTCTCGACCTCAAGAAAATCCCAAATAGAAACAACTTAAGTTCTCTGAAAAATAAAAGAACAAAGTACTCACTGTGATGAACCTCCCTGAAGTCCGGAGCCTCATATCTCATGACGATCTGCCTCTCTCGTCTCAAACTATACGGCTTGTCGGAGGTGTATCTGATAGCTTCTTCTGCGTAACCTTCACCTAGGTCCCTGTGGTAAGAGATTTAAATTTCAGCGAGATGAGAGCGAAACATAACTTTGAGTTTTTTTTCTTAAATATAACATCAAATATCAAACTTTTGGAATGCTACCTTTATATAATTATTTGACCATATTGTGGCTTGGCTAGCTCGCGCTCTTATGTAAAGTAACCGAAGCACGTGTCGTCTGAACTGACCTCTTCAGTCTGGTAAGGGCGGTGGTGTGTCGCCTGCTGGGGTGTCGTCGTGTTCTGCGAGGAGAGCACCCTGGAGGAGAGAGAGTACGGCGGGGTTTCCTGACTATCTCCTGTGTTATCAGCGGGGCTAGTACCTGAGATTAGACATGTTATGTCCCAGTGTGAGTGCCATGTTGGATAGATTTATATCATGGCTAGTATCTGATATTGATATCCGTCGGTCTAATATCTATAATGGGCATTGGGCAACTTATACTAAGTAAATTTCTCGGACCTGGAATTTTAGCAGTATGAACTTCACTGCAATTTCCAATCGTATTATAAAATATTTAAATTTGTTAATGAATTTAGAACAATGATTCCAACTTAAACTCATTATATGCAACGAATTATAAAAATGAGAATATTGAGAAAAATTGACATAAACATTTACAGGCAACATGACGAATGCGGAAATTGAGTGAAATTGTATTCTTTACATCAAAACAGTGATAACAGTGGTCATTACAACCCCAATCGCACAAAAAACGCAGAGATTAAAATGTGACATGAAATAACAGCTGCTAGATTAACTAAAGTTTAGAGGTGGAAGTGTCTGATACAATGGTCTGTTTAGTGACTCCAGAACAATTTGAACCAGCACCCCTACTCTTCAAAATATCCCTGCACCTCCTCTCGGCAGCGCTCTGATAACTCCTATTCCTCAGCAAATACACCACAGGGTTCACACATGAGTTAAGAGTCACGCACAACACGTACGTGACATTCCATGAATAGTTCCAGAGGAAAGAGGAACTGTACCGTTCTATCATCTCCCCTCCCCGCACTCTCAGATCAACGTACACTGAGTAGTTTATGAAACTCGGCAAGTTCAGGACTATGTACACTAGGGTTACCATGGTAACGGTTATTGATGCATGCTGTTGGATGTTGGAATGTGAAGAATTTGAACTTTGTGAAGAGGCTCTGCGTGGCATGTGCCTGGAAAGCAAGAAAACAGATACCAAACAACTGACAATAATGGGGAGGATAGGGAGGGCTAGCATGGTGCCAGCTATAGTCAGTTGTGTAAGCTCGTGTAAGGGTGACTCTCTGCTCTCCCAACAGTACTGATCACTAGAGGTATAAACATACTTAGCACTCTCCAGAAACAGAGACACAGCTCCCCTAGTGAGCAGCAGGAACATGTACACTAATATACAACACGTGACCCGACCACGTGGTATCTTTATCCGAGGCTTCATCAGAATCACAGTCCTGATAGTGCTCATGGTGAGGACCAGGAATACTGAGAAGAACGGCAGAACGTTCCAGAGGATTCCCCACGTCGTGCAGAATATATTGTTAGAGAAGACGGCAGGGTTTCGTGATCTGAGGAAACCCTCGGCTACTGGGAATGAGGTTGATAAGATTGAGATATCTGTGCAGATGATGGTCAGGTAGATTGTGTTAAAGATAAGGGTGTGTTCCCGTAGTATTTCACAACCCTGGCTGTTTCTCAGCGCTTGTTTTCTCTGTTGTGTAAAGAAACAGAGGGACGCTATGTTAAGGGGAAGACCGAACAGTGAACAGAGGATGTAGATGACTCCAAGACATTTGTCTACTATGTCGCTGGGGACCGGGTATACAACTGTGGTGTTCTGTGGTAGAGTCATTGTCATCCCTGGGTGGGTTTAGTGACGGGTAACTATTTGTAATAAACAGTTTATGCTTTTATGAAATAGGTGGCTATTTTTATGATAAAGATTAAACTATGCAACGAAAATGAGGGAGGGAAAACAGACTTGAAAACTAGTTAGGATGTAAGGATGCGACCTTAATTGGAATAGTTCTTTGAATAAGCATTTTAGACCATGTATTGCTTACTTTTAATCGCTTGTAAAGTTGTGTTGCAAAACTGTGATAAAAACAATAATAAGAAACGTGCCAATCGCGAGCTTTCAACAGCCTTGCTCGCTTATTTTGTAGAAGAAATGATACATGACACCTTCTTACCAATATACTGCAGAATCTAGATCAGTGTACTGCAGTATTCAGAAAGATACGTTAAGGGAGAATAATGAATATATCACCCAAACGCCTTACAGAACTTATCATTTTGATTGGTATGCTGAGAACGGCATTTTATACTGCTTCCTTACTCCTTAGTCGTATATAAATGTGTCAAACGCGGATTTTTGTACCAAAAAATTTTGTACCAAAATTTTCCAACCAGTTGTCAGGGCTATCAGATTTAAAGAGAAAACATGACCCGAAAGCCGTAGAGCTCATAATCATATCGGTAAGCAAAGATCAGCAAAGAATGACTCGAAATTATAAAAGTAAATATCTGTGATTGAGCTGAATAATTTATGGGAATATGTATGATGTCAGATGTGGCAACTGGCAGCGGAGATCAAATACAGGCATATTTTAATGTTCATCCAACAAAGCGGCAATTCACACGATTGGGATATAATCAGGAAATAATCGGGTTATAATCAGGTTTGATCTTGGAAATCATATATTCGTAATGTTATCCTGACACGACAAAGAGTTAACATTACTATTTCTGAAAACAAACCAAAGCTTGTAATATTTGAGATAAAAAGGTGGTACGCACGGTTCATAACCGGTTGGCGGTGGTTCAAACGTGAAATTAAGAAAAGCATAACTTGACGAATTCATTCTTTGGAATGTACCACATTTTTTACTTGTAATCTGACCCTTAAAGCACTTCACACCCCCTTCATATAAAAGGGAGAGATATGAAGTATTATTGTTGACCTGTCAAGTGACAGTAAAGACAGTAATCAACTGTATATATATTATTATGTATTGAGCAAGCGACTGCAGTTGAACGAAGACCTAGAAGTTTCTGCGATGATGTACAGCTAATGTTGTTGGGCTGCATCTAGATCTTTCCACGTGTTATCCGAGCCTCAAAACACAGAACATATTTACTTCTATACTAAATTAATGAGTTTGACTTGCATGTAAGTGTGGTTGTTGAGCCGCGCCCGTCACCTAGTTACATACTGTGAAATTACGGGTATACAGTGTTACTGTTTTGCTCTTAGGCTTATTAAAGTATATTAAAATGTAGGATTTTTTCCAATTTTGACCCGGGGATATACTTTAATATACTGGGGGGGCCGGGGGGGGGGTCCAACCCGATTTTTCCGATCATTCCGATCCCGATTTTGGCCTCATCAACCCTCATATCGGAAAAATCGGGAAAATTTAAATCTTCCCTCTGAGGTTTCTAGGCGATATATGTAGCTATTTCTGTACTTAAATATGACAAGAAATCGATTGGTGGTGGTCCCAGAACCCCAAAATAGTTTCTTGTTCCAAACAAGAATCGTTTCGTCCGAAAAACAACACAATGTCGTACCAACTCTTGTTTGACAGAAACATCCACCCCGGTCCACAATTGAAAGAGGTACGGTTGGTAATAACAATCGTAACAAATAGCGAACGCTTTAGTAACTTTTGATTTAAATTGTCTCCACAATTTGTAACAGGCTATCTGCAGAAATGGGTAGCACGGTTATCTCTTAGATACAAAGAATAATTTACACAATTTTTAATAACATTAAAAGGGATGAAAATCACTTTATTTATCAAAATCTTTATTTATCAGCTTTCCCGCTGCAATTATAATTATCCAATGTTGTCTTCCTATTAAGTGTTTATATTCCTACATAGCAAAGAATGTTCTAGATTTTAATAATTTACTTAAAGACTTATGCCTAAATAATAATTGCGTGTTCTTAGACTGTTTCTCAGACTTTTTAACTCGAGACTTTAGATCCTGTAATGAACTTCTATACCATGATTGGCTTCATCTCAACATGAGAGGAGTAGGTTTACTGTCCACTTGGCTTAAGTTTGTTGTAAACGAACACAGTTTTGACAGGGTTGTAAATAATCTTCTGGGAATTTAAATCTTTGATCTTTTCTTTCATTTAATATTTTGATTAAGACGTTGCGCCTAAAATTAAAACTCAAACAAATCTCTGATTTAATCTTTTTCCCAATTTTATGCCTCCTATTTCAGGTACATTCGGTCACTGCCCATTTTCCCATATGTTAGACAATGAATCGTTTAGACTTAGAATAGGTCTTTTTGCATGCAAAAGGCCTCGTACACAGTCAAGAAATGCACATATACATATCAACACGTTTATACCTAACAAAATTTACACATTTAATTCTCCATGCACCCCACACATCAACTACAATTATCATAATCATATGTTTCTCTTCTATTCTCTCATCATGACTTACCTTCTCCCAATTCTTCTCTCCACGACTAGGTCCATGAACACCGTATTCCCCCTAGATTCTAATATTCATTCCTCTCTACTCCTTGACAGCCCACGTTATCTTATACCATTTCTTGCTTGCTCCCACATCAAACTTTTCTTTGTAATTATCTCCTCATGGTTTATAAGAAATGTTCTTCTCCCTGGTAAGATGAATAGAGTCAAGTATTCCAGCCGCCTCAGGCGTCTAGTATCTTTATTCATTCTTTGGGTTTTCTCTCTTAACTTTCTTTTGATAACTCTTGTTAATCCTTCTATGCTTAATCCAGGTCCCAACTCCCTATCTGTACTCTACCAAAATGTCCAAGGTCTTATTCCTTTCAGTAACCTAAGCTCCTCCCATCCCCTTCTTGATAGTAATAAGATTTCCGAACTTCAATCCTTTGCTAACATAGAGCAGCCTGACACAATTGCCCTAAATGAGACTTGGCTCAAAAAATCTATTTCTAGCAACGAAATCTTTCCTTCTTCTCAATATGAAATCTTCCGCAATGACCGCACGAGAAAGACTCATCCTCAAGATCCTAATAACCCTAAAAAGTTTAGGGAAAATGGAGGTGGTGTTCTTTTGGCTGTTCGGTCTGATCTCGATGCCACTACAACCCGACTACCAGTTAGCCTAGGTGCAGAAATGCTTGCCGTCAAAATTGCTTTTCCTAACAAAGAGAGTATTGTAATCTGTACTTGTTATAGAGTAGGAACTCTTGGGTTACCTAATCATGATGTCATAGTTAGTTATATTCGCAAGCTAGTTTCCAAAAAGAATCCCCCTAAAATCTATGTTATTGGTGATTTTAATCTCCCCCATACAGACTGGCTATCTT